GGAGTTTTGCCGGATGTGAATGTGTAGATAAATGTTGAGCTTTGAAATGTTTATTTTTAAGTAGTTGGAAAAGTGCAACATTTTAAAATTTTATGAAATAAATTTATATTGTTCTAGTTACCTTTTATGTCTTATTTTTTTTATTGAATCTATAAATATTTGGAATGTCATCAATATTTGATGCTCGACAACCGCAATTCTTGGAAGAAGATATTTAGCTCAGATCAAAAGATAGAATAAAATAAATCAGGGGGAAAAAAGTAGAGTTAAAGAATTTTTATCTACTTGTTTATTATTTTCTTCCTTTTTAGCGATCAAAATTTATATAGACTGTCTATATTAATTTCTCATGAATCTCTCATTGATGACTCACTAACACGAGATTATTCTGCAGTAAGAAGTGGTTAAATATTTTACTACTTTCTATTTTTAGTAATAATAAATATGATATGTTAATTCTATTACGCTGATTAAAAAAAAAAAATATCTATTATGCTGATACAACGATCTTGCATCTTTTTTTTTTTTATTATAAAACAACAGCAAATTCAAACTCTTACCCCCTTCATACTCCTCCTCATACCTAAAATAATGCTTAAATTCCAAATAACTTTTCTATCTTTGCTAAAACTTTTTCGAACGCGTCTTTTCCACACTTTCATGTTTTTTGACAAGGTATTTATTGTAGTAGTGGTTTTCCATTCTAGTTACGAGCTCAACAATATTCGCGAAATATTGTTTGACCTACGGTTCGATATACCCGGGATGTTCATTTCTATAGACAAGTATTATCCCAGTGCTATAGCGTATTGATAAAATATTATCTCTACAAGATCGTTCCTTTAATACTTTGACTCTTAAGATCTGACTCCCAACCGCCCTTTGCACGAATTCCTTACTATTTCACAAATACTTAGATTATTAATTTAAATTTCTTTTTTTTTAACGTTTTAATAGGCATACCAGTGAAATCGTGCAGTTCGAACCCTTCTCGCAATTGAAAAAAATTTGAACGCGCTATTCCCATATCTTTTCACTCTTTTGTCAAGGTATTTGTTGTATTGGTAGTGGATTTCCATTCTGGTTACGAGCTCAACAATATTCGCGAAATATTGTTGACCTACAGGTTCGAATACCCGGTGTTAGAACTGGAATCGTTTCAAACCAAGCTAACAAAATCTAATAAACTTAATATCACGATTATCTCAAAGGCCTTTCCTAAGAGAAATTAACGATTAACAAATAAAACAATTTATTATCACAATTCAATTATGTAGTTGGTTATCACATCAATCCTATGATGAAGACAAGAAGAAGGTTGAAAGTGTAAAATAGCAACTTTATTAACTGTAGAGTTATAAGTCTATTCCCAAGACTTATTCAGAAAACTATCTGATCGAACTCTGTCGACTCAAGGTCAACTTACAGGTCTATTTATATAAAATTGATAACTAGTACTATACTACGCTTTTAGATAAATATAAATAATACATATAATGAAAACTAGATAATATAATATAAGTAATATAATATTTATTTTAAAAAGTAAATTATTCGATACATGTATTATAAAGTCGATCAAACGATACATGTATTACATGTAATGTATCATTTTCATGATTTTCGACGCAGTATGATTTGCGACTAACACCGGGATGTGAATTCCTTACTCTTTCAATAATACTTAGATTATTATTTTAACATTATTTTTTTTTATATCATTCTAATAGCAGACAGATAGTAGATTCTTAATGTTAACTTTTCACGGTCCAGAATATTGGAGGTGTGGGGACCACCATTATATTGAAAGACTCTTTAGTGACGAATACTTGTAGTTTGGCAATTATTTATGGGAAGTATCTTTTCATTATTATTTATTTCTCCTTTATTAATGTAGATTCTGACTGTCTGATCGTGTCCCACATCCCTTTAACTGCTTTTGATTAATGATGTGGTTAGTAAAAGGTTTTTTGGCTTCAAAAGGAGAAGCATTTTCTGATGGGATCCTTTGTATTTAGCTAAGAGAGACGGCTTAGTACTTGGATACAGACGCTTCCTAGGATTTGTCTATCCATCCTCTTAGAAGTGTTTGCCTTTACACGTGAAAGTTTTCTTCGAGTTGACATTAGTGGTTTTTATTTTCATTTTCAGTCCTTCACTTTTCCAATATTCTCCACTAACTTCTTCTTTCCTTTATTAAATTATATTCTACGTCCGAAAAGACTTAAAATATACGGTAGGATGGCTTTTTCTTTTATCGTCAATTGAGAGATAAATATTCACTTTTTTAATCTTCTAATTGAGAATATAATAAGTCATTTATAAAAGCTTAAGTCTAAAAGAAAAAATTCAAAAAGACGAATGTCCAACAAATTTTAATAATTTCTCTTTTCTATTTAGATCCGACGTATCAAAAACGAAAGTAACTACTACGACTTCTCGAAACACAAATGAAGGTTTATTTATTTAAAGTTGAAAGAAAAATCTTGTTTAAATATAAAAGTCTAATAACGTGTTTTTGGCGTTATTTAATAATTTCATTTAAATACTTCTTGTAATATCATCAAATAACTATTCAGAATTATAGAATGCGTGAAACTTGGTCAGATATTAGGGGGTAGATTGAACAAATCATCAATTAATTGGATTCAACAAGTCAACGATAATTTTCATTATTGGAAATTCCAACTAGAAGGAAAAAGTCATTTTATATTTATTTATTTTTTTTTATAAGCCCAAAAGATACGGGAAATATCATGGTTCAAAAAAAAAAATTATTATGCATTCGCGAAACATCTTTCCTTACTACTAAAGAAATAACCCCTAAAAACGGAAACGATTTTTGATATAAAACATTTCTAAACCATCATTCGCAAAACTTTGAGAAAAAAGGAAACATTTTCCGAAAGGAAAACTTCAGTTGAACCGGATCAATACATTAGACAGCGAATAAAGGTATCGCTTAAAGATTACGACTCAGAATGAAATATCGTTTCCTTATAAGAATTTCTTGTGTACCGAGATATTTATTTTATTAATACTAACCACAAACAATTGTGGTGGTTTTAATTACAGATAAAATTTTAATTTATAATCAATGAAAATTTAATGCAATAATAAAAAATAAAAATGATAAAAGGATTTAGCAGAATAGATTGTCCTTATTGATAAATTCTCTTTGCCAATTTATGATATTTTTCAGGCATGGTTTGAGGATACAAAAAAATTTAAAAAATTTCGTTGCTGATACATTAAATTTATTTTTCACAAGTAAGACAACGAGTGACAAGCAAAAAGTTGACCGTTGATAACCTGGGATTATACGAAACCAAATCAACAAGCAAGTTCATATATATAACTAAGGACACGAAGTTGTTTGTAATTGAAGAATAGATTTATAATTTGTAGAAGTTTCTCAAGAATTGTTAATAAAATACCTTTGAAAATTCTATCGACAACCAGGTCGAACTAATTCTAACCTAACTTTACTATATAGTATACAGATACTGCATATGATATAATAACTGCGTTGCGCAATATTAGCGTTTATCAAAAAATTAATAAATTAATAAGAATATTTTTCTCCTAGACAACCTTTTTCGGTGACCTTTAAGCATTTCTTTTCGTTATGTAAACATCTAATTCAACACAATAATTCACCAAAGAATATGCCTTCTTTAGAGGCGAATTCATATCAACCAAGTTAATATCATATTTCGAATACATTAAAGCTAATAAAGTTTTGATGTTAATCATTGCTAAATATCTTCCTGGACATATCCTCAATCCACCTCCAAAAGGAATGAAACTGTTTTTGTCAATTTTCTTGCTTGAGTCTTTCATAAATCTATTTGGATTAAATTCTTCAGGATCTTTCCAATTTGCCTTATTCATGTGAATTCCATGTACATGTTGAAAATAAGTTACCCCTTTCTCCCATTTCATATTGGCAACTTCATCTAATTCATTACTGGAGCTAGATTGACGGAATACTGAAGGGACAACTGGCATCAACCGAGCAGTTTCTTTCACTACAGCTTCACAGAATTCCAATTTATCGATATCTTCCAAGGTGAGTAGACGGTTTTCGGTCATGGAATTTGGTGGTCCTAATAAACCATCAATTTCTTCAATAAGACGTCGTTTATATTGGGGATGTTTACTCAGGTAGTAAACTATAAAGCATAAACTATTTGCCGACGTATCAATTCCACCAGTCAATACATCAAACATACTATACATAATTTCTTCATCGGTTAAAGGTCTGGAAAATTCATCAATGTTATTGATCCGCTTGGAATCCATTTCGGTATTTGTAGTACAAAATAGTGTAAGTAGATCAGAGTTTGATGTTCTGCCTCCCTCCTTTAATTCATTTCTGGTCTCCTTCACAATCTTCAATATTTCATTCTTCGTCCAACTCATACTCTTTAAAAACTTTTGTCGATAAAACATAAATGGAGGAACGTAATTCCTTAAAAATTTTGGTATGAAATAAAAAAATTGAAGTGCATGTAACCAAGTTCTTATCGCTTCAATGAATTCTTCTGAATCACATGATGTTTTTGGAATCGTCGTTTTCAACTCTTTGGAGTTGACAAGTCGATTATAATATAACGCCAACGTATATGATCTTTTTCCTGTTAAAGCTGGAAATATCGTATCCGTGGTGAACCTTTTCATCCAATTTGGAAGGTCAAAGACGATATTTTCTACTGAAGTTGAAGATGATGATTTAAAGTCTTGATTGAGGTTTTCCCAATATTGATCCATTTCATCGAATGAATTTTTAGTAAATTCAACGAATAGTCTAAGGAATGATGGTACCATCAAAGACTGTGTTAAAATTTTTCTATTAAACCTCCAACTGGTTAAATCATTATTAAACCCGACTCCATTTGATGTTATACCAAGCTCATCAAGTCCTTCGCTAGCGGATCTAATATTAAATGGTGTTTTTGTAGATGAACTAAAAAGTTTTTCAATCAAATCGCTTCTATTTAACCAAATGTGTCTTTCTGATCCAACATATATTTCAAAAAGATCACCATACTTTTTTTGTAATGCCAAGGAATATTCTGCCGTATCCCCCGACAATATAAGATTATGAATATTTCCTATTAATGGAAGTGGTAAAGGACCTGGAAGTGGATTTCTTCTTGTAAAATATTTGTAATAATAATATGATACATAAGAAATGATAATTAAAGTGAATATTGTGGTCAACTCATTGACCGTGGATAACGATATTAATGACATTTTTGCAAATTTAAAAGTTATCAAAAGAAAGAATCGAAACGAAATTATTTATATAAATTTTTTAAAAAAAAAAATCATTGGTTTAGGAATTTCCGCTTTTTCGTACGTAACATGTAACATTAGTTAAACAATTATTATATGTCTTATGAAATGATTTGTAAAAAAGCGTTATTAAATTCGTGTGACATTGCGTTGGAAAATTATTAATTTCATTGTTAAAATAACGATCAATCTTCGGACAGATACGCCCAATTTGTTTATTCTCTGTATAATGTAAGCATAAAGATATAATTAGCTTTCGAGTTACGTTCATCAAATTTCTAATTTCATAACAAAGTATGGTAAATCAGATTCAAAGAATTGCGTAAAAAAAAAACGCAATAACTTAGTTATCTTGAACTTGATCACGTGATAACGCAAAAAAATTGGGTGAAGTTGGTCCTTTTTATTTTCAGGTAATATTAATTTAAATTTCTGCCAGAAATCTTTTTATATTTTCAAGTTTATATTGAAATTGTTTTAAATGCAAGTCATAAAAAATTACTTTTACACGCCTCCTTAATGTTAGCATTACTCTTCATTTTTTTTTCCTATTTATTGGAATTGAAATGAACTCAAGACCGATAATAAAAAATTCGAGACTGCCTCAGTATTTCTGTTGGTGTTAATAATTTTTATTATTATTATTATTACTAGTGCCCGCGAGATCCAATCCATCGAGTCACAGGTGATATTATGACTGGAATTATAATTCACAACACATGTGGCACAAAACTTTATGTCTCGAAATTTCACTTGATAAATGATTCGAACTCAAAACATACATTGAAAAATTGAACAAATAAATATTTTATTAAATCCTTTTTATATGATTTTTCTAAAATTCACACTAATTATAAGTCGATATCGAATTGGTCTAATAAATAATAGCAATTCGTTATAAATTTGTAGTCGCTTATAAATTATTTAATAAATTTAATATTTTTTTTTCAAAATGGAATATCTATAAATAATTGAAGCTACCTGTATTTATTATGCAGTTCATTAGGATAATGCACTTTTTTATACTTTTCATATACTATTATTAATTTAAAGATGCTCTTTTGTGACTTACTTAATAATACAGTTATTGGATGGGAAGGTAACACATCGGCCACCCCTTTAACGGGGCGGGGTGACCGATATTTTTACCCAATCCAATAAATTCTCTCTTTGATATTTGCATCAATTAACACTTTCGGTTAGAGCTGTGATCTACCAGTATTACGGTTGATCAACTAATTTGAACGCTTCGGAGAAAATAAAGCTTGTACCATATTGCTTAACCTTATGCAGAATTATTATATTCTACACCAATTAAGTCAATAGTTGTAATTCAGATGATCTTCGGGGCGGGGTCCAATCACGAAATGCCATTTTTTTTTTTACAATTTCGTAAATACAGTAACTGTCGACTTATTTCAAATTTTATATTTCAGTCTTAGCATACTAATAAAATTTATCTTTTTAGCTGATTATAATATTTAAAGCAAGAAAATAGCATTTAATTTCGCGGCATTTATTTATTAAATTTTATAACATTTAAATTTCCGATCTTAATTTATTTTATTTTTTTTTTTTTTAAGGATTTATTTTTCTTATATTTTTCGTTTTGTTTTGCTATTTTTTTTTGATCACGTTCGTAATGTAGGTTTTCTTTTACTTCTTTTTTTACTTTCTATTTTTAAAATTATAACGTAAGTAACCTTTATTTTATAATTTTTTTATTGTTGAATCGATTGAATGTAAGTTTTTCTTTTTTATTTTTATTTTATGTTTTTCTATTTCTTTTAATTTGATTTATTTTTCGTTCAGGTTTTCGATCGCATCGGATGCTGCGTCAGTTAATAAGTGAGTTTTTTTTATCTTTTTATTTTCTTTTCATTTTCCTTTTTATCTTTTTTTTTAAAAAACTTCAGACAAAAGTGATCCAACCTGAAAAAGCAATTTAATTAGAAGATCATATTTACAAATAGGAAAGGAACTAAATAAAATTACTTAATTTTTTAGAAATTATAATCATAGAGAAAAGGAATCGTTGAATTTTTTTTCGTTATAAATAATTTCATTAAGAAAAATAAATAAAAGAAAATGTTTAAAAATAAAATAAAAATTATATTAATTCATGTAAACGTAGATAATAGATTCTTCATATTTCTTTAATTTTAATTTATAAATACATTAATTGATATAAAAGTTAGATTCTATCCCAATTTTCAGATGGCCTCATATCTGAAATTAAAATTAACTGAAATTAAAATAGTTACACAGAAATTGACCAATTTGATCATGACTGAAATTGGAATTCAGGTAACAAAAAGAGTTGGAATTACAATTTCAACTTCAGATGTAAACCAATTTCGACATGTTCTCCGAGTTCCCCAAATTCAAATTTCGATTTCGAGCAATCCAACTTGAAATTTCAAATTTGGGCATTTAAATTCTCCTTATTTAAATTTAAAACAACTGTTAAATTTGACATTTATTTCCTTTTTTTTTTTTTTTATAAAAAAAAAATAAACGGCTAATTTTTGATTATATTATAATTTTTGCCAGAATTAAAAAATCAGGGCTGGTACTTAACATATGGATATATTTTGAGTAAATGATGCTCAAAATAATGCTATGTCACAATAAACATTTCCAACCAATAATAAATTGTTCTAAAATTAGATTTTATAAAAAGTTTCGTGACTGATGTTACACAAACGAGAAATTTTGACGTCCTAATCGCTTGCTTTGTAATTAAGTTAATCGATATAAAAATTTAACCAAATAAAATTCATATATCATATAATAATATGAATCAAAAATCTCATTTTTTGTTGATGGGGTCCTATAAGGTGATTTAATAGCTTAGCGTGAATTTAATTTTGATGGTTTATCCAAGTTTAAAATTGTAAATAAAAATTTATAATCGATTCCTATTCTTAACCCTTGTTAATAAAATATGTTAACGTGATATTTTACCCATTACTATGAGCGTTTGAAAGAACTTACTTCTGTATCCAAAACCAAATATTTATAGATTCAATAAAATTCAATAAGACATAAAAGGTAACTAGAACAATATAAATTATTTCATAAAATTTTAAAATGATGCACTTTTCCAACTACTTAAAAATAAACATTTCAAAGCTCAACATTTATCTACACATTCACATCCGGCAAAACTCC